CATTCATAACATTTGAAGTAGTGTGACAAAAACAAGGAATGTTGCAGCTAAACGAGAGAAAAACAAGATGCATGACCAGGAATGGATGTAAATAATAAATATTAGTATTACATAGTTATAAACTTGCTTCAGATATCATATTCAATGTTTCAAAATAGAGAATTTTTATCTTAACATGTACATAGCATAACAAATTTAGTATTTATATGCTTTAGATCACTTTAAACTTTGACAAAATACAGTGTACATGTAAATTAATTTTTTGTAACAAGTGAAATGCGTACAGGTATCACATCAACTTAATATATATGCCCACCTTTCATACTAGTTGTTCCTGAGCTGCCGTGCATTTTTTCATTAGTTGCTTGGTGTCTCTGTACAGAACAGTCCTCCATATTATCTAAAAATATGCAATATAAATCAAAACAATGATCAGAATTTTGGTTTTAAAAGTAAAGCAAAAGGTGCCCTCCCCTTTAGAATACATTACAAAAAATTGTCCTCTTATTATTACAAGAGAAAATCAATAGTATATAAATTTTCCTAATCCTAAGCTTATGATAGATATTTTTTTTGAAAAAGATCATTATAGTTCATCACCTGTAGAGGTGACTATAAACGGTTGAGGGGATGATAAAATATACAAATTAATTGGTTTAAGAATGTGTCTGGAATTAGGGGGTGAACAAAATAGTATATAATTTTCCTCATTCTAAGCTATCAGTAAAATTTAGAACAAGAGGCCCAGGGGCCACAGTGCTCACCTGAGCACATCGGCTAGGAAAAAGCACATATCAGATCAGAACTAAAAGTTTACTGAGGTAGGGGGGGGGGGCTTGAATTTTAACCCCCCCCCCCCCCCCAGGGGATGATGATTTGAACAAACTAGAATCTACATTATCTGAGGATGATTCCATATAAATATTACTAATCATGGCTTTGAAGTACTTGAAAAGAAAATTTAAAAGGTTTCCCTATATTTTCCTACGTAAAACTTTGATCAGCCATATTGGCCCCACCCTACCCCCAGGGGTCATGATTTGAACAAAATTGAATCTACACTTCCTGAGGGTGATTTCAGATGAGTTTCATTTCTCCTGTCTCGATGGTTCTTGAGAAGAAGATTTTCAAAGATTTTTCCAATATATTCCTATGTAAAACTTTGATCGCCATATTGGCCCCACCCTATCCCCAGGGGTCATGATTTGAACAAACTTGAATCTACATTACCTGAGGTAATGATTCCACCTAAGTTTCATCTTTGAGGATGATTCCACATGAGTTTCATCTTTCCTGGCCCAGTGGTTCCTGAGAAAAAGATATTTTAAAAATGCCATTAATTTTCCTCTAATTCATATTTATCTCCCCTTGGAAAAGGGCGTGCCCCTTCAATTGAACAAACTTGAATCCCCTTTACTCTAGAATACTTTGTAGCAAGTTTGGTTGAAATTGGCCCAGTGCTTCTTGAGAAGAAGATTAACATGTGAAAGTTAACGACGACAACAACGACTACAACAACGACAGACAACGGACAAATTTTGATCAGAAAAGCTCACTTGAGCCTTTGGCTCAGGTGAGCTAAACAAGAGGCCCACGGGCCTTATAGGTCACCTGAGTATCATGTAACAACTTTCCAGCGATTGTATTTGGTTCGTGTTTTAATCCAAAAACCATGAAATTCACAAATTTTGAAAGAGGCACCATTGCTTATCAATGGGCAGATTTCAAAGCATTAATTTATTTTTAGTCAAAGTACCCCCCTGGTACCCCTGACCCAGCAGCCCTGAAATTATCTATTTTGAAAGAGGCCCCTTTCTTCATTATAAGGCCAGAATTTTTTTATGCTTAGGTTTAGTTATGAAGAAGGAAATAAAAAAATTTTTTGATAAATCAATTATTAACATTTGTACATTCTTTTTTTTATGCTATCCTAACATAATGCTTTCAAATAGGAAAGTACAACATTTAATTGCTTATTTCATCATCTGCCATTTTGGGCCAGTTATATAAATTTTGTGATGTTGATCAAAATATATTTTAAAAAATCAATTCTTTAAAAGTCTTTCAATATGTCTTCATTTTTTTTAATATGTGTTAATATGTGTTAGGTGAATGTGTAGACACTATTCTAAAATTTACTTGATGCCTAAAATTATAATTCCTATCATAAAACAGACAGGGAGTATAGGGGAGTAGGGTGAACATTTTTTCAATTAAGTGTGAAATAATTTTTCTGGCTGATACAAATGATACTAAATGCCTGTATATATTTGTATATTCTTGCCTTTTAATCTGTTAAATTTTTTTTATTTCTTCAGGTTATTGTTTATTTCTTCCTCAAATGGACTTAACTTCTCCCATAGTTTTATTCATTACATCTGATGCATAAGCAACCCTTTTCTGAAGAATGATACTGTAAGCTACAACAAAGACCTAAACACTGTAGCTGGCAATATGCAATAGCTACCACGGGCAGTTTAAAACCCGGGGGAGGAAAATAATTTACAGACAGATACTTTTGAAACGAATACATAATTATCTCACCAGCATGTCATTGTGCAACAAAGTCGTCAGCATTTAATTTGTCCTTTGAACGGGTGAAACGTTTTGAATGGCACTCTTATCGATGAATTTTACACTAAACCAAGCTATCTTCTCAGACCTGTCACCTAGCTTTATTTACCCGCCGTTTCATCGTAAAAGCGGAAGTGCGAGTTCGTAAATTTGAAATCTCGATCCCGACTCAAATTGACCCTGACATGGGAAAAAAAAAATTGTTGTATTTTTTTCTGAAAATTCAAAACCTTGAGCGGAGGGTTTATAAAACTGAAAATAAAATAAATCCTGGCCTTAAATATGTAATTAGATCATTAGCATATTAACCAGGAGCAAAGGATAAGATGTTCAAAGAATTCATGCATTTCACTATATAATCATTAGAGCCCCACCCTAAAACAAGAACCCCTGACCCTGGGGCCATAAAATTCACAATTTTGGTAGAGGCACTCTTGCTCATCATAACTATGTACTTAGTTAGTTTATTTAATACCCAGGAGCAGAGAAGAAGATTTTCAAAGAATTCATGTATTTTCACTATATAATCAATAGAGTCCCGCTCTATCACCAGAACCCCTGACCCTGGGGCCATAAAATTCATAATTTTGGAAGAGGCACTCATGCTAATCATAACTATGTACTTAGTTAGTTTATTTAATACCCAGGAGCAGAGAAGAAGATTTTCAAAGAATTCATGTATTTTCACTATATAATCAATAGAGCCCCGCCCTAACACCAGAACCCCTGACCCTGGGGCCATAAAATTCACAATTTTGGTAGAGGCACTCTTGCTCATCATAACTATGTACTTAGTTGGTTTATTTAATACCCAGGAGCAGAGAAGAAGATTTTCAAAGAAATAATGCATTTTCACTACCTACTTATTTAGCCCCACCCTAGCACTAGAACCCCTGACCCCAGGGCCATGAATTTCACAATTTTGGTAGAGGACTCATTGCTGATTACAATCATGCAAACAGTTTGACTGCTTGACGTCCAGGAGTAAAGAAGAAGATTTTTAAAGATTGCATTAATTTTAGTGGTTTTGGCCCCACCCCTCAAGCCCCAGGGGGGCAGGGACCATGAAATTCACAATTTTTGTTCCCCTTCACCTACAGATGCTGTATACAAAATTTGGTTGAAATTGGTTTAGCGGTTTCAGAGAAGAAGCTGAAAATGTTCAAATGTTAACACACGACGGACGACGGACGCCGGACGCCGACGGACAAACACGGATGGCAATAGGTCACCTGAGTGACTCAGGTGACCTAAAAAGGATTGAATATAATTTTTAACATGTTTGCCAGCTGTTATATGCCCAAAGCCTAAAGTAAAAATTTGTTTGTTTGCAGTTGCCCACTGACTCACTGAAAATGCACCTGATTTAAACTTCTTTTCATCCAATTTGTATTTTTTTTTCGGGGGGGGGGGTTATGCTATCAGGATATTGAAACAGTTTCATTTTCTATTTTTGTTTATCAATAAGTGGCTTATAACAAGTGGATTTTTTAATGTTTAAAAAGCATATTTTTTAAAACAGAAATTTCGTGGTGGGAGGGGGGGTGTGTGTGTGTCAAGATGAGGGACTGTAAACCCCCCCCCCCCCCCCGGAATTTGCAGTTATTAAATTCATATACTTAACCAAGTAAAATGTGCCCTTCAATCCCTCTAGAAAACGCAGACACCCTCCACAATGCCGATCGGTGTTAAGTTGGTATAAACAGTCAGGTAAAGGTTAGAAGCATTAGAATTCAAAACTACTACCCCCCCCTCCCCCTCCCCCCCCACATACACACCCTCACCCTCACACACACACACGAAATAAGTTTTTCACGTTTGGGCGAGTTGTGTTTTTTTGGCTTGTCTGGAAATATTTTTTTATGGGGATGGACAACCTCCCCACCGGAAAAAATTCCTGGATCCACGACTGATTATACTAAGGAAAATGTATTTACAAACTGGATACCCACTGGTGACCTTGTATTTTACTTACATGTATGATTGTTTAGTAAAAGCTTCGATTTTCCATGGGTATTGGACAATGTATGAATGAATACTTTCTACAAAAAAGATCGTTTCGAACCTTTACCTGAAACAGGGGACTCCGAATCACACCAAAAGCTGACTCCCTGAATTTTAAGGACACAATATCGGCCATTGAATCCCTTTTCATCACAGCCTGGGGGCGACTTCACGCCGGGGTTGGTATCTCGACACTTAATTTTCTAAATTAAAATTAGTATTATGGATTATTTACAATTGTATGTTAATTGCTTTAATATTTTACTTATTTTTTTTTAATTTCATTTTATGATTAAGCAGGAATTGCAATAAAAAAACGTACCCCGTAATACTCGTCGCAAAATTCTCCTTTATAGTTTTCCTTACATTCACATTTTGCATCCAAGGAGGCCAAATCTGAGGAGGGAATTAATGTGCCATTGTTCTGACATGGTCCGTTCTTTGTGAAGCTATATTCTCTACAGAAATCCACTGGAAAGAAAAGATTAGAGTACTTGCACTAACTCCTTTTAGAGTAAGAAATATTAAAAAAAAAAACATAAAAATAATAGAAAAAAATAAAATAATTAAATAAATAAATAAAATAAAAAAAAAACGTTTTTTCTTCCTAGTGGTATATAAAACCTACCTGTCACATGGTCCAAGCTACCATTCTTCTTGGGATCGGAAAGATCACACACATCCTTTATTCCTAATTCGTACATGTAAAAAGAACATATACATTTTGGGTGAAGAAAGTAGCCGTTACACTGTGCTCTTTTCTCTGTGAAACCTACAAAGCAGACGTGTCAGATGAAATTCTAACACTACTTTTACTTGCATAAGAGAAATGTAGATTATTAATATTACATTAACATTTAAAGAATTATATATAGAACCTAAATTTGTAGCAAGTTTTGTTGAAGTCAAATATAAACTAAAAAAGTACAGGTTGTGGCATTTAAATAGACTCGCATATGTTAAAAGTACTTTTGCTACACAGCTAAACGGAAATAAGTGTCTTAATTAAGTCTATTTCATAGTACATTGATATATATGTAAACTGTAGAAGCACAGTTTTATAGTAATTGGAGACCTTCTAATGCAACACTGCTCATCGAGATTGAAAAAAGAAAGGCCACTTGAACTGTATATCTTTGTGTAGTACTATATGCAATCCTGAGCAAGGGCAGGGAATTGAATATTTATTACACAACCTACAGAACAATTCCAATCACAAGCACCTGACGAATGGATCGTGTAATCCCCCACCCCCTTCAGCTTCTGAGAATTTTATTAGGCACAAAAAATTATCAAAAATGCATGATTTCCTAGTCTATCATTGCATGTATCTTTTATTTCGATATCTGATATCATTTTCCACTTTCATTAAGATGAAGAGATTTGCCTCATAAGTTGTGTAAAAATACTTTTTAGACTAGTATTTTATATACATATAAGGCCAATCTATAATCAAAATCTTAACTGGAGGGGGGGGGGAGGGAGGGGGGCATCCATTTGTCAGGTGCCTGTGAATCCTATAAGATACATGTATTATGAGATGTTAGGACTAAAATTTTGTAATATATTTGACTTGATGAAAATAGCTTTATCATATTATTATTAACAAAGATATCAATTTTTTAAATGAACTCTCACCATCAATTGGAAGTTTACATCTTTCACGATAGTTTGTTCTATTGAAAAATGCTGCAATAGGGAAAAACATAATTAATACAAAGACAATAATTAATCTCTTTTATTTTTTTTTAAATATACCCGTATGTCTATATATTATCATCCCTAAGAAAATTTTACCTACATTGCATACAAAATCCGTCCTGTGTACAAGATTCAAGAAAAGAATATACATGTAAATAGAAAATATTGAAATATTGACTTACGCTCTTCCCTTCTGACAATCTGCTCTACTTTTACTGCACATTCTGAAATATAAATTCTCTAGTTGCACATTTCCTCCAAATTTTCATTATCCCATATATATTTAAGCTTGAACTACGAATTTGAGATACGAACTAAAATGTTTAACAGTCATCATGTAAGTACGATATCATAAGGGAGAGTAACTTTCAATTCTTTAACAAAGGCACTGGCATATTAAGATGGGGGGCACCTTCCCCCTTTTTCGTCTTAAATATACTTATGATTTAATATATCAATTTTTCTGGTGTTGTTGTGGGCCCCTACCCTGACCCCTAACTGGTCACCCCCTCCCCTGATTTCAAGATTCATGGATCCGCCACTAATAGCACTTTTTAAAAGTACAATTTCACCCCAGCTGACTTTACAGTACGACAGACAGCGAACATTCTTTTAAACTTGGGCTATCTGAAATGTATTGTCGCAAACCACGGCCATTATGTTCGATCCTCTCCCGAACCCTGGAGAGAGCTATATGCGGACTCCGAACCATGGCTTGAAACGGTTTCTGTAAATGATTCATTTCCGTATGCCAAAGATCAGTTTAACTTTCTTCAAACCTTGTGTTGGCATTGACAAAAAAGTTATATCCGTTTACTAAGATCTAATAAATATATTAAATATATGGTTTGGAAAGAAAACTAAGTACCTAATGTATACGGTATTCCTACTAAATGTATAATATCATATAAACAAGGTCATATTTGTATTGAAAACCATTTTGAAATTATTACACAATTCAGTTTATGTTTGATTATTTTGTGCACTTCAGTAATCGTTCTTTGGCGCCGAACTTTTAGTGGTTGCTAAGATCGTAAACATATTGACTTCTGGGACTTTGGGGAAGCTTCTTTACACCAAGTAAAAGCTCTTTTAAATGGTAATATTAATACAATTCCACCTCTCTGGCGATATTCCGTAATTCGGAACGAATAAATGGTTCACAACTACACACATTTGCTTATACAGTGTATTTGTGTCCATTTTTAAAGGAAACTTAAAAAGTTTACATAGATATTATATATGTTAAGGTTCAAATAGTTGAACGGGCTTTGCCATACATTGTCACTAGGGAGATTGCATTTGAATCCAATATAAGACCCCCCCCCCTCTTCAAAAAATTTCAATAAGATAACATAAAAATTGAGTACTGAGTATATTTCATAACAAATGAGCAATCATTATTCTATGCCATACTATAATACCTTAAAAAATATATACATGCACTCAAGCATATTATGTTAATTTTCAGCATACATACACGTAGGGTATACCGGTTTTATATATAATCATAGAAAAATCCCTCTGACCTTCGGCTTTGACTGACGAAATCAATGCAACTAAAATCGTACACTTGATGCAAGTCCAACCAGCCATCAATGATTCATATCTATAAAAAAAATAATAATTGTTTTAGCACTACCGGGTATTATTTTACTTTAAATTAAGAGGTAAAGTTTTTAGGGTATATTTAAAAATTAAAAAAAAATCCAAACCATCAAACATTTTTCTAACAAACCAGGCAAATCATGTTATAATCATTTTATTATGCATATTTATGGATCAGCTTTTTTTTTTTTTTTTTTTTCCAAACGTATATATTTTCCGTTATTATAAAAAGGGAAATCATTAAGTTTTATTTGTACTAAATATATGTTATTTAGACTTTTGCTACAATTTTTATTAACCATCGGGCTTAATATAGTTGTTTCGATTTGTAAGAGTTTATGCAATGTCCAATATTTAAAACAAAACAGAACATTTCTTTATCAAATGAAACTCCTACTCTTTACCTGTGATAAAAATAGATTTTTTTTTTTTTTACTATATACGTCTAAAAGGAGAATATCAATTTTTTAAATATACAAAATTATTGATAAATTATAAGCTAAAAAAAACTTGCATCTAGAAGCATCCATAAAACAGTATGTTCTATACAAAAAAACTTTCTATTTCCTTTCTCCTCTTGAACAGATCGAGAGTGTATATTTAGAGGGAAAAAAATCGTACATGCATATTGATAACTCCAAAATAAAATACAGTATTTCAAACACATTAGGTCAAATTAATATTTCACACATTTTATGAATATTTAATAAGTTACTTTCATTTTAACAATATACAGAAGCATTGCGTTTATAGGGTGGAAAACGACCCCTCTAACTTTTAAAGATAATTTTCCACAGACATGCACTGTATACTTACATGGTAATGTTTCCATTACATTGTCCTAGTCGGAGATAAGTATTAATAAACAGCCACCGAAATTAACACAGATCATTACACTCGGCGTCGCCTTTGGATCTCGTCATCTGTAGAGGAAATGATATATATACAGTAATCAGTTTACGCAATCAGCTGTGAGAGTTATTTATTTAACATATTTCAATCATTGTATTGTGTATTTTAATGTAAAAACGGTACATATATACGTAAACATTGTGTCCCTAGAATGGAAAATGTACTGGTAAAAAAAAATTGCCAGTCATGTACATGTATATACATACTTTTTTAAATTCACAAGGAAAAATGGCGGGGTACCTCGGTCACGTTTTTTGCTAAATTCTATATTTAATCTTTATTTAGACATTTTTATCCTAAAATCTACAGATAATTATTATTTTGATTTGAATTGCTATGAACTCTGACAGTTACTCGTAACAGGATCACGACCATTACCCTTAAAGCATTCATACACACATGTATTTTAATTTGTACCTAATTAGACAGATCTCTTAAAGTCCCATCCACCCGTGAACTTCTCCAATTAAAAAAAAACTATTAAAGTAAAAGACCTTTTTTTTTTACAAAAGTAAATCAGGTCCAGGACCATATGTAAAATACATCAGAACAAACGAGCTAAAAAATTAATATTAATGACGTTATAATGCATATTGCTTTTGTTACAAAGAAAGTGCAAGAAAATGGAAGAATCTTCATACATTTCTTTTAGCCCTACAGTAGCCTAACATTTCATTGTATTAGAAACTTTATTTCCATCAACAACATTTTCAAACCACTTATATTTCAAAAAGCCATTATGTAAACATAAATACAGAGAATTAAACCATGCAGCAGAGGTAATGTCAATTGCGGTTTAGATTTAAATACATATACCAGATAGCTATACTGACATGCACTTCTTGTACCTTTACTAAAAAATATAACCTCCTTTTATGAATCGCCAAGTCAAAATGTAAAAATATGCAACTGCACTTCACGCACCACTTAACAAACATTGCAATCATGGAAACATAATTAACAAACATATGCACATGCATGGCACTACAGTGTACTATCAGAAATTCTATATATGTAAAAGATCCGCGTAAATAATTACATGTTACTAGATTGGTTGGTATGTTGTCAAAATGCAACAAAGACAATGGTTAGAATCACAGGCACAAAGAGTAGAACAGAACGATGATATGGCCCATGTCAGAATTTGTTGGTAAAATTATACTTTGTGATTTCAAAAGTTTTGGATTGTAGATTTAACCTATGATCCAAAATTCCTTATTGATTACATACACGTGTTGTTTGATCGAATATGTTTTTCAAAGTGGGGGGGGGGGGGGCCAGACACAAAAATAATTGACAAGCACCTAAGGCTGAAAAATCTTAACAAACGAACAAGCAAACAAACACACACATATAAAAGAGCCTTAACTCTGAAATCTTATTTTCATACCGCAAAAAAAGTTAAAAGGAGGTAATTGGTCTTTAATAACAAGTTCAACTAGTGCTAATTGTAACGGGGACCGTTACAGATGTTCCCCAAACGCTCCCCAACTCACTTTTGGTGCCATATTCCCTGTAATCTTCATTAAATAAGACAAACTCTATGCACCTGAGATTTTAACAACATTTACAAAGAAGTGTACAAAAATCATTTAAACTTTAGCATTGCACGCGTGCACATGTGAATGCATTTGCGTCATGACCATATCATCTTGTCTACAAAATCTATATTTTAAATACACTGAATATTAAAGTATTTAATCCAAAATTATTTAAAAAATACGCTCATTCAAGTGTATGTTTGATTTTACTCATTTCACGTGCACGCACGTGCATACATGAGCATGGTGACCATACCTTCTTGTAGAAGTCCATTACATCTATCTATGTTCTAAATTCCACCCCGTTTGGGTGAAAACTAAGGGAGTTATAGCTGTTTAAAGTTTCAGCCAATCAGATTGCAGCACATGTACACGCACGTGTATGCATGTGCATGGTGACCATACCTACTTGTAGAAGTCCATTATATCTATCTATGTTCCAAATCCCATCCTGTTTGGTTGAAAACCAAGGGAGTTATAGCTGTTTAAAGTTTCAGCCAATCAGATTGCAGTGCACGTGCATGCACGTGTTTTCATGATAATTGCTTTATTTCATGTTGTAGGATATCCTAATGCATGGCTATGTTCAAAATTTCAAAGGATTTCGTCAAAAACAAGAAAGATATCGAGACTTTAGTTGCAGCCAATCAGAGCGAAGTGCACGTGCATGCGCGTGAGATCTTGCTATTTTTACCATGTCGTCATGTCTATACTACTAATATATCCTCACATTATGAGTTTCAAAGCATTTCATCTAAAAATAGAACAGTTGTGGCTATATCTATTATATTGGTCATTTCACGTGTTGCACGTGCACGCTCTTGCAAGCACGTGCGCGCAAAATGACCTTGATTCCGCAAATCTACATAACATGTCTACTAACCCTAAAAAGGTTTTACTTACATTGGACGAACAGTTTACAAGATCATTCCCGGACAAAAAAGTTCCAGGAAGAAGAAGAAGAAAAATAATAATAATAATAATAAGAAACAGAGTAAAAACAATATGTTCCCCAACTTCGTTTGGGGAACATAACAAGATGTGTTTGTGAAACACTGATGCCCCCGTATGGCAACATAGCAAAGATTAAACTTTTCTTATACGCAAACTTTAATATATTGGTATCCAAAGTAGGGTATTTTCACTGGAAATACAATTGTGAAATATAAAAGTAGGCCAAGGTTAAAGTTTTTTCATAAGTGCGGAAATCTCCAAGGTCAAAGCAATTAGTATCAAAAGAAAGGTCCTGCCACAAAGAATACATGTGTGAAGTATGGAAGCCCTGGCCCTAATCCTTCTAAAGTTATGGTCAAGGTTACCGATTTTAAAAAGGAGGTCTAACTCAAAGGTCAAGGTCAAAAGGTCATAATTCTTGATATCAAATGAAAGGTCTTGTCACAAGGATTACATATGTGAAGTATGATATCACTAGCCCTTAGCATTCAAAAGTTATGGTCAAGGTTAAAGTTTTTTCATAAGTACGGAAATCTCCAAGTTCAAAAGGTCAAGGTTATTGGTATCTAATGAAAGGTCTTGCCATAAAAAATACATCTATGAAGTATGGAAGCCCTAGCCCTAACCCTTCAAAAGTTATGGTCATGGTTACCAATTTTGAAAAGTAGTTCAAACTTTAAGGTCAAGGTCAAAGGGTCAAATTTGGTGGTACCCAAAGAAAGGTCTTGTCACAAAGATGAAATATGTAAAGTATGAAAGCACTGGCCATAACACTTTTAAATTTATGGTCAATGTTTGCTTTTTAAAAGTAAGTCAAATTCCAAGGTCAAGGTCAAAGGGTCATAGTTCTTAATATCCAATGAAGGGTCTTTTTACAAAGATTAGATATGTGAAGTATGAAAGCCCTATCCCTTACCGTTCAAAAGTTATAGGCAAGGTTAAAGTTTTTTTCACAAGGACAAAAATCTCCAAGGTCAAGGCAAAAGGTCATGATTGTTGGTATCCAATGAAAGGTCTTTCCACGAAGAATAAATATGTGAAGTATTGATATCCTGGTATCTACTGTTCAAAAGATATGGCCAAAGTAAAAGTTTAGAATTTTTGTTAAAAAGTGGATTGAACTTCAAGGTCAAGGTCAAAAGGTCAAATTTGGTGGTACCCAAAGAAAGGTCTTGTCAAATGGAATACACATGTATAATATGAAAGTCATAGCTCCACTAAATCAAAAGTTATTGGCAAGGTTAAAGCTTTTGCGGGCAAAGACAGACAAACAGCATGTAGCTCTATTGTAGCGTCGGATCTAAAAGAGGAAGTGATCGACCTCATGGATATGAAAGATTTGACCTTCAGCCATCTGCCCATCATAACAACGTGGGTTACTTTTCTTGCTAGCAGCGATAGACAAAACTTGAAAATTTAATTTTAAAATATTTGCAACATATATATACGAGGGTTGTTCGAAAAGTTCGTGGAGAATTTTTTTTAATTGTCATATCTTTTTATTTGATGTCATATGTTATCCAAATTTGGTAGAAATATTCTAACAATAAATCCAAATGATTTGTATTAAATTTTTTCAAAATATTACGATTTATTCAAAACCTATACAGATTTTAAAAATGCAAAAATCGGATCGCGGGGCAGGTCAAAATTTAGTAAGTTGCAGACAATACACTAAATAATGTCTGTAGTCATATTTTCTGTAAAATGGAGCAAAAACGAAAAACAACCTAGAAAATCAAATTAAGAATTGTTACCGATTTGTATACGATCACAAAATTACTGCATCTCTAAGTGTAGACTAAATATTTATAAATCACCGTTTGTTCCAATGGCAATAAAGGAATGGAATTCTTTATCTCTTGAAACAAGACAATCCACCACAATTGGTTCCTTTAAAAATTGTGTAAACTCTCAGAGAACACCCACCCCGTCCTTTTTTACTTTTGGTGATCGTTACTGGAGTGTAATTCATACTAGATTAAGACACAATCGTGTTCTAAATAAAGACTTATTTAGGTGTAATATTATTGACAGTCCACTATGTACTTGAGGAAAAATAGAAGATGCATATCATTTCTTTTTTTCTTGTGTGAACTACACTGCCCCAAGAAACGACTTGTTCAATGCTATTTTTAGAATGATAAATTTACGTATTGTAGACACTCATGTTCTATTATGGGGAGATAATTCGATCAGTATTTCTGAAAATGAAAGTTTATATTTAAATGTGCAATTGTTTATCAAGAGATCTGGTCGTTTTTGAGTAATTTGTTTAGATTTGTTTGTCCATACTACATTAATTCAATTCTGCATATGCATTACCTATGTTAGATAATCTTATTGACCTTTGGTTCCTGTGTAAATTAATTTTTGAACAATACTTTTTGTTATTAATTGTTATAAACGAGAGGACGTTCTAAGTTTTTAAGAACTTGTGTCCAATCCTTTTGTTGTAACATCAAAACAATAAAATATGTTCAAACCAAACCATACGAAATTATGGCTTTATATTTTGCTTTGTTGAAAAGAAATCA